TTTAATACAGCACATTTAGCACATGTGCTATTACACCCTTGAAACTGACAGTACACACTTCTTCTCATCCTGAAAGAAACAGTACAACTTACCAAATAAAATGACTCCACTATGATATGAAGCATTTGATGAATTAATGATTCTGAAGCAGCTACCCAGCTGCGGTGGGAATCTCACCATTTCACAAAACAGTTACAGCACATACAGGCCACAGAGAGGAGCAGTGTTGTGCTAGTGTCCTGTTAGAAAAGTCTGAATAAGGTCACACTGGAGCAAATTTCAATGCAATATATGCAAGGTCTGCTACCTTAAATGATAACAGAGGCAAAGGTTAAAGGATAAGTAACGGTAACAAAAGCTAGAACATGTAACATTCATTTTGGCACCATCTGGTGGTTGTATCAAAAATACAAAGAGTATTTAGAAAAGAATTAGTTGCCAGACTGCACTGATTGTTTCCTACAAACAAGTTATTATCTCAACGTTAGGTAAACAATTACCAATAATATTTGATCAGAGTACTAGATAGAATTGGAAGAACATTTATATATATATATATATGTTTTGACAGCAAGTTTGCAAGAATTCAACGCATTATTCAGATACTGAAAAGATGATTATATTTTTGATGTAGTTGGAAGTTAGGAGATGGAAGGAAAATAAATCATTAGGTCGAGGGTAATGTACAACTTGCTGTCAGCGACCACATCTGAATACAAAGTTTAAGAAACTGTAATTGTAATGAACCACACTTTAGACAGGGACTCTTAAGTATTGTACCAATACCTTGAAGAAGGAACATAAGAAGTCACCTAGGCTTAATCTGAGTACTTTACTTGCACATACATACAGTATATGCTGGTAGTAAGCACTTGTGTATGTATGCACACTCTCATACATATGCATACATACAGCCATGCACATACATACATATACGGATACACATACATAATCACACACGCATGCATTATGTAAGAATGTAAGAATGTATTTATGTATGTGTGTGTTTCAGCATTTATGTATGTGTATAGACCGATCAGCCATAACATTATGACACTTTTCTATCTGAAGCTAGCATTAACTTTTTCAGCAATTTGAGCTACAGTAGC